GGCTACCCCACCCCAAAATTGTCCTCATCAACAACATACTATTAACCGAATTAGTATGATTTATTTCTTTTATAGGTATTGTTACAATAGCTGGCTGATCATAAAAATGCATTGCTCAATTTTTCTACAATTTTATCAATTTGATCGCTTCTGCTTTTCATAATTGCTATTACTTCACAACTACTATTAATTTCACTTTTTATAAATAAAGAGAATTCACTTTAGGAAATATACTTTTTCTTTCTTCAGAAACATATATATATATATATAGTTAATTTCCTTATTCTTTAATAATTCTTCAGGAACAGTTTTATCCTCCTTCACATTCGAAAAAGTTGTATAAACTAGAACTAAACTGTTCATTAGAATCAACTATATGCAGATTGAAAAATCACTTAAGAAAAATAGGAGAGACTTTTTTTGAAATCCTGTTGTTTCATTATGTAACGATGAAATTTTGAAATTTTTATTGTCAAATCCTTAACTAGAAATACAAAAAAGGGTTTTACTCAATGAATAACAACGCAGAAACCAACAATTATCTCAGCAATTGCAGAAAAGAGTATTAATTAAATCTGTGGAGTTTTAGCTCTTTTTTATTTTATTTGCCAGTAGCTCACAGACTTTCATTGCTCTCCTTGAATTCTCAAAAATCTTAGTGCATTGTGTGTATGTATCACTGTGCAGCCCTGATGACAGTACAAAATGCTCATGCAAAATCGCCTCGAATTCTTTTATTCTAACATCACTTTTAGATTTCATCCTTACATTCTTTATTAATCATTCGGGTATATCATATAAGTAGGCAAAATTAGTCGTTCCATAATGTACAGAGGAAAGTTCATCGATACGAAACAACTGATTGACATAATATAGCAGCAGCGTCCCATCGGTACTGCCAGCATTGCCAGTTGCAGCGCCTATAGCTAAAAAAAATTCATATGAACATTTGGCTGAAGGAAAATGTACTGCACCCACTCATTCATCTCTGCAACAACCATTACTGTCATCAAAATGGACATGGCACATTCATTCATATTGGTGTTGTGCGTGCGTGCATATTGGTAAAATAAAAGACGACAATTTTTTTGATGCTTTTAGCTTATTTGACACGTAGTCTATGGTTGTAGGCAGTGTTGCAATGAATGATTTAGAAAAGAAATGCAAACGTTAATGCTGGCATGACTCACTTTAGTGTTTGAATTGATGATATGTCCTTACAGCAGCACATAAATAGCGGTAAGATCAGAAACGCCTGCATGGAATTTGCAGATATTATGCAAGCAAAATACAACAAAAGACTATAAAATTTGCTGCCATCTTTAAATTCATGCAAAAAACACGACCATACAGCAGGTGGAATAAACTTTAATGACCACTGAGCAATTATAAGTAGCGTGTCAAAGAGTGCAGAGAATATCTAGTATAATTTATCTTGTTTTCCTTTTGGTTTCCATTTTATTAATTTTTTTACAATTGAAATTGATTCAAATTCAAGTAATATTGTGAGAAAAAATTTTACTGCAAAACAAAGATCATCATTGCTCGAATATATTACCATAAGCAAAATGCTGGATAATTTTGAAAGTTCAATTCTAATTCATATTTTCCTGAAAATCAAAAATAGTTGAAAATGACGCACAAACTTAACATTGGAAGGCTGAAAGCTTAAATAGCGAAATAATCTTTAATAAATATAAAATTTAAATATTAATTTTTATAAAAATTATACAATTTGTAAGAATTTTTGTATATTGACTAGGAAATAAATTGTAGTATTATCGAATTGTAAAAACTATTAAAAAATATTAGTTAATCAAAAAAAAAAATAGATAAATAGAACTTAGTTAATTATTTTATATGCATTGTACGGGAACTGTTCGTATAAAGTGTGCCCATTTGACGGCTTGAATAATAAAATAAACTTTACGCCTAGGCTTTGGGTTAAACTCAGGCTTAAGTTTTATTTCAAATTTTAAAATTGATTTTTGTGAAAATCCTATAGTTTTTAAGAGTTTTTGCATATTAGACTAAAAATTAAATTGTAGTATTACAAATTTCATTTTAATTAGATGCTAAAACTATTAAAAATATCAGTTCATTAAAAAGAAATTGGTATTTTGAACTTAATTGATTAATTTATATGCATTGCGTGGGTGCTGGTCATATGCGGTGTGGTCATTTGATTAGCATAAGTAATAAAATAAATTTAAATAATTAAGTTTTAAAAAATATTTGAATGGCGAAATTAATAAAATCTTTAATTAGTCACGATTTTAATTCATTCTTACGATTAAAATTATTTTCTATTTCAAATTTAAATATTGATTTTTATGAAAATTCCACGATTTGTATGATTTTTGCATATTAAACTAGGAAATAAATCCTAATTCTATCAAATTTCATTTTAACTAAGTGTAAAAACTTTTAATGAATAGTAATTCATTTAAAAAATATTCATTTTCAACTTAATTAATTATTTTATACTATTGTACGGAAACTGGTCAAGTACAGTGTGGTTATTTGATAGCATGAATAATAAAATAAACTTCATGCTTAGATTTAGGCTTAGGGCGAACTTAGGCTTAGGCTTAAGCTTTATTTCTATTTTAAAAATTGATTTTTGTGGAAATACTATAGTTTGTAACAGTTTTTGTGTATTAGACTAAGAAATAATTACTAGTATGGTTAAATATCATATTAATTAAGTGTTAAAACCTTTAAAGAATAATAGTTATTCATTAAAAAAAATATGTCTTTCCAACATAACGGTGCGGTCCAATAATTTTTAGGGTTTTTTGACATTTTATGCGTAAAAAAAGTATTAAAAATCGACTTCAAAGCAAACTTTCAATGCAGAAATTAATTAAATTTGCAATTGTAAACGATTTCAATTATTTCTTGAATATTAAAATTAATTTTAGTCACAATCTTGGATAGGGTTATTTAAGAAATTTCGACAGTTTTTTAAAGTTTTTATAAATAAAATATCAAAAAAGCTTTAATTTTTCTTAATTCTATTTTAATTAACTTCTACTAATGCTGAAAAAATATAATTCACTTAAAAATAAATATTTTTTGAACTTAATTGATTACTTTTATTTGCCTTACACTTGATCTGCTTATATTTTGTCGAGGATTTTTGACATTTCATGCAAAAAAAAAGTTTTAAATATTAACTTTAAAGAAAACTTTCAACGCAGAAATTAAATAAATTTGCAATCATAAATGATTTCAATTTTTTTTAAATGTTAAAATTAATTTTAGTTAATTTTATTAAAGAATCAATAATAATAATAATAATAATAACAGTAGGCAACAAGAATTTGATCAATAGGAAATATAAGTAATCAACAACAGAAATAAATCATCTATTCATGGTGATTATAATTATTAATCATCTAAATAACACACTTTGGGAAATCGGAATAAAACTTTTGCAATTAATGAGAAACATTTAGGTTAGCAATTCTTGCGAAAAAAGATACCAGTTTTAAATAATTTATAAATATTTCATAAATGTATTCAATTTGTTTTATTTACAAATTTCATCTTTATTTAATTAAAAACTGTAAATGGGATGAGAAAAATTTAATAAATAAACTTCTTTTTTTCTTTTTTTATCAAAAAAATTTTCAGCATTCTACAAAAGTATTACTGGCCACAACAAATTCAGTATCATCAAATGCTATTAGCAAAAACAGAAGAAAATTGATAAATTGCTATCAATAATTCATGATTTCAAATGTTTAATGTAAATAATCAATATGAATTCTTAAGACAAAAAATTGATTTTATTGCTCAGTTTTTTAACAAGTAATGTTCAAATTGTTGAAAAAAACAATTTCAGAGGAAAGTATAAATGATTATTTCTATATCTAAAAAGCAAAATTAATTTAAAAAAAAAAGTGTATTATTTAGTGTTAACAATAAATTATACATACTGAAACTGTTAAAGAAAATCTTTAGATAAAAAATAATTCCAGGTAATTTTAAATGGAAGAACAAAAGATTATATCTATATTTAAGAAAAACCAGCAAAAAAAATTGACTGAATTGCTTATTGCTTAGTTTTATACTGTTGAAGTAATAATTAGTTCCATTAATAAATAATACTGAAATTGTTGGAAAATTTAAATGAAAATTTAAATCATTTTTGTATCTAGAAAGCAAGAAATTACGTAAGATTATCCATACTGAAAATCGTTTGATAGATTCATGTGGTATAACCCTAAATACAGTATGGCTTACATAATACAACCGTAAACGCATTTTTCTCGAATAAAACATTCGTTAGTGTAAATATTACACTAATTTAACTCAAACCATTTACTTTATATCCATTATTTTAATCGTAATCAAAAAAAACCACTTAATGTAACATTTACTGCAAATCAGTGTTCAATCTTTTAAATTTCATTTTACAACAAAACATGATGAAGTAAAAATATTAATGCAAATTATTCTCAAAATTACCTCTCTGATTTCATTTTATTTTTAATTCGCATTGAAATCACTTCTTCAAGAAATTATTCCTAAAATTACTACTCTTATTTCATTTTCATCCTTTAATTGCTCATCTTTTACAATGATAATTATTTACGATGTTTTTTCACTTCTAATATTTAAGTATTGAGATATTAGAATGAAAAATGACTATTTATGAATAATCATGATTATCACACACCACATACGGTTTCATTGAGTAATTTTTGAAATAATTTTATTTTTGTAATAACAAATGAAAACAACAGTAAAAATTTAATCGCATGAATATGTGAGCTTTTTACAGATTACTTCATATTTTACGAATCAAAAATGAAATTATTTCGTCGTGAAATTTTTCAGCAATTTTGAACCTTAATAACTGCCATACGGGCTATTCATTACTCATACAATAATTCAATGACAGCAATAAGAGTGAAAAATATTCAACATACACAAAAAAAAAAAAAAAAATGTGGAATGTTCATTTAAAAAGCGGCAAGAGAAAAGAAAAACTAAAAAATTGGACTATCATCATTCAGATCCATATCTGTATCGCTTTGTTCCTGAAAAATGACCTTTAAAGCTTCTCATCAAATGTTAAAACTATTATACATTTCTAGCCGAACACATACATTGAAAGATGGTTCAAAAAAATATATAAATAAATGAATGCATACATTTATTCATTTATTTATGTTTATTTATAAATTACAATTTTAGAAAATGATATATCTTTCATAAATACTTCAATTAAGAAATGAACCTCTATAAGTTCCATATCACCGTTCCCATCTTCACCAGTTGCGGAACCCTGTTGTGAATCATCAGCACCAGAATCTGCTACTTCCATTTCCACTTCTTTCAGTTCTTCACCCTTAATCAGGATTTAATTTTTAAAAAAATATAAATGTATAGTTAATCGTTCAACTGATTTTTAAGAATTGTCACTTTCAAACTTCTCAATTTTGTAAGGAAATAATGTCTAGAAAATAAACACTATCATTTCAGATAGGGAAAAAGAAGCAAAAGACACATCTAAATTCCTGCTCTTTAACAGTCCAATTTGAAATGCACTATCACAGTCGACACCAATCATCAATTGATGAACTGTTCTAATAAACTGCTCTGATGTTGCTCTCAGCTGAGGTAACAACTTCAGTAGTGATGTGCATTTGGTACTCTGTAAAAGAATTTAATTGATAAAAAGGTAAGAAATTGCAGAGATATTTTTATTATTTTACAAAAAAAAGATGAATATCCTATAAGGAGAATAATGTTCGAATTCAACTTGTTAAAAACGTGCAACAATTAAATCCATTTACAATTAATTGTATTCAAACAAAACAATTAGTGCTTATCTCATAAGGTTATGAACAACATAAATTTAGTTCAGCAAGCATCACTTAAACAGATAAAAGGAGTGCAGTAAAAAACTAAAATAACCTTTGCATGAGCACTCATATTCTGTAATGAACGATTACCAATCTGTACCGTTTTAAGAATGGCAGTTGCTTCTGCACCATATCTCGCAAATCTTGAAAATGCTGCTTGCTATTCTAACTTATCAGATGTATAATACAATTATGTTAGCTTATCAACTGCATAATATAACTAATTATTTAACAACTCCTATAATATCTATCCACAAAAGCAGTTGCACTATTCAACCGAACTTAAAAAAAATTTTTTTCATTGGATTAAAAAAAAAGGGTGATACTGTATATTTTAAAACTGAAAGTTAAAAATCAAAAACAAACCTGGATTCATCAGATAGCAAATACATAAAAGAACTCTTGACAACAAAACTCTGCAAAAATGACCGTCCTTCACGTGCAGCAGTTAACAATACACTAGCATTCCGCAGCTCCTAAATAAATGATAAAAATAAAACAGAATTCTCTTGCTTAATTAATAAGAAATATTTCAGGAAAAAGTGAAAAATACACTAAGTTAACTCTACACAAACTCATAACTAAAACATAGGTATAACAAAAAACTAGCATAAAACTTATTTACGCCCCATGCATTTAATTTGATTTTCATTGAATTAAAAAGAAAATCATCATGAAAAAATATCATGAAGATATTTATGCAATATGACTCAGTTTTCTTTTAGCTTTAGATTTTTAAAGATATATATAAAAATACCTTGACACGAATTAGTAGAGTTAATAAACAGAAACTACTAGTGGCAACCTTCCAAAATGCAAGGCATTCATCATGCTGTAATTTGCCCCTCTCAATCGCTTGCAATGACAAAACATTTTTGATAGTTTCATTCAGTGAACAGAACAAAACTTTATAAACGGAAGCAAAAGTAGTTCTGAAATAAAATAAACAGATATTACTCGTTATCATACTTAGAAGATTCAGCTGATGATGGATAGACTTATATTGATTAATATTTCATGAAGACATACTTGCTAAAACACATAAAAAGAGATCTTTCATCATCATTCAAATCCTTGTCGTGACATGATTCTAACGATGAAATTTTACTTCGTCGCCGCTCATCTTCTGGAACTAACTCAGATACTTTATTTGCTAACAGCCACTGAATCGCAGAAAGTCGCTCAGTTTGTTCCCGAAATGAAAGATATAATCTATAACATATTCATTTTTGATTCTAAAAAGTTTTTAGCATCATCTAAGTAAGCTAAATGCATGTTAATGCAGCATATGGATAGCTAATTCCACTTATATTTACGCCTGGTCGTTCGATTCATCATATTAAATGCATAAACCAAAGCTAACATTTGCCAGTTAAAAAAAAAAAAAAAAAAATGAATAAAAATTTTGACAACCTCAAAATATTTGCAACCGCTTGATTAAATATTGCACCTTTCACCGGTCTTTCCTCTACATCAGACCATTCTCTTTTTAAATACGCAAGTGCTGATTTTGCTGAAAACAACCATCCATACATAACTATTGTTTATACCCTTTATTCTTTCTTTATAATTAAGATCAATTCTTATCTAAGTTTTTAAAAAATGGTCATACTCTAATACTTGAAAGCTGAAATCTGCTATTCTGAGAACATTCAATTTCCGAACACTTACCAACTTTGGATTTCTGTCGTTCATCAATGAAATCACAGGAAAGTAACTGAAGTAGAGAAACAGCACAGTCCAGTGTGGGAACGATTTCGGAAAAACTTATAAAATAGTTGGAAACAACATCCTAGAAAGAAAAAGGCCATGGATATAGTTTTAAAAAAATAGAATTTTCTATTCGTCACACACAAAAAAGAAAAAAAGAATAGAATTCGTTTAATTCTTGATGAATTTAATTACACTGATTGAAAAGGTGTCGTAGTTTATTTCAAGAAACTAAATTATGGATGAAACCTCTGCATCATCTACTCCTTGTGTATCTTCAACGACAGCAGCATCAATCATCGCTCTTTCCAACTTCTCCATAAGTGATTTTCGACGTTCCATTTTTAAATGATGAGATCTTTCTTCCTCTTCTGAACCATCTTTGGATGTTTTCATAAAATCCACACTGAAAGTAATCATCAACCAATTTCAGCTAATGATTCAAATATTTTAAATAGTATATTTACTCTGAGAACTATTTAATGCATCAAAATGGTACAATTAGTTAATATGATGAATAGGAAGACAAACATTTGGCTTTACAAATTTACCTTATCCAATGTTACAAAATAGTAAGCCAATAATTTGTGCAAAAAGAAAAAAAAATCTTACGATGAAAATATATTATAAAAAGGACTAGTGATGAATGCATGAGAGCGCTCATGTCAATGTAATAGGTGCGTTTGGTAGCATCGAAGACGGAGGATGTATTCATGATGTTTTTAAAATAGTCCACTGCACCGTTTAAAATAGCAAATAAGGTTGGAATAACGGATTGAATTGAATGCCAAATAATCTTTGGATTGTAATTCTCCAAAAACTCTTTTGTAGCAGTTTTTCGGGATACCTAAACAATGGAGAACAGAATTCTGTGTTAAAATTTACTTGAATTTAAAGCAAATTGATAAAAATTTGAAATAATGCAATAGGAAAAACTTTGGATAGTTTTGGATATCAGATAAGGAAGAAACTAACATGCTGATATTCCTAACAGATAGTTAGACATTAGCTAAATTAAACTATCAAAATAAAAATGAATTTTGTGCAGTTCATACCGCGTTAGGAAAACCTGTAGATAACGGCAACCACTAGTGGTTTGGTTACTAATAACCTATTAAAACAAAAATTTCGCTATAATTGATACCACTAATATAACTCAACAAAAACTAATGTAATGGCAAAAAGTAGTAGGAACAAATAATTAGTAATATACTTTGAAATTAACGGATAATTAAGCAAGTTGAAGAAGAATTTAAAAAAACAATTTGATAAAAGGTTTAACCTATCAGTTATCTTATTAATTGCACATAAATAAATACGTCAATATTTATGTGAGTGTTATTACTGAAAATGTGTTATTATCCAAAACCTACCAATAAGAGTGGTATTTTCTTGCTTTTTTTGGGTAAAATTTCTTCCAATAATCTGCCTAAAGTTTCTAGTAAAAACGTTGTTTGTTTCCTCTTCTTTGGCAACAACTAAAACACAACATTATTTCATAAATAAGCACAAATCTCAGCAGTTTTCCCTTCGCAACTGAACTAAATACACTTATTTTTCAAATTTCATATCTGAAAGATATTATAGTTATTTAACATCTAAGTCATAACATGAATAGTGTTGTTAAAAATTTGGGCTGAAAATAAGGTAGATTTCAATGTGAAAGTATGGGGAACATATTTTTCTTTCACTTTAAAATTTTTTGGGTCAGGAAGTAGTTACTGTAACACAGAGTTCAAAAAAATGAAAAATAAACTTGAGCTTACTTCAATTAAGTGAATGATAGAAGCAAAACTAAGTGGCATGAGAAAAGACAACAACTGTGATTCAGCAACCAGCCTTTGTTGACCCATACTTTTAGTTATTCTCCGTTTAAGTTGCTCAATCTCAATAGTTTTCCCTTCGTTAATTTTTGTTTGAGTAGTATTTCTTGGTAAATCTCCCTACAATATCAATCAATACATTACCAGTTCCTTATGTTCTCATTTTTTCACACTTTTTTAATCAAAGAATTATTAGTTAATCAGTGTCCATTTATTTAAATATAGAGCAATTATGTCACTTATCAGTTCGATTAATGGGATTTATACTATGCTTTTGATAAAATTTCACAAAAGTACTTAACTCTATACAATTATGATTTCATCTTAATTCAATCAAATGTCAGACCTGCTTCTCAAACGAATATAACGAACGGATTTCCTCAACCTACGTTTTCTTTGTCCACTAGTTCATTTAGCTTGCTTTCTTCGTCATCCATATATTTCGCCCCATTGTCATCTTCATCATCCCTTTTTCCATCATCACTGACTGCATTTTTTCGACTTTTAATAGACGATGGCTTTTTAGGAGTATCGTAAAACACTATTAATTCAATTTGTTCAAAATTCAGCATACATGGCATCTTATACTCTCCGATTTCTAAAATAACTTTTAAACCGAACTGCTGATAATATTATTTGAATAGAATAATGGAATAATAACAAAAAGAAAAAGATTTAAAAAAATGAAGAACTTGTGACATTTTCTTCAATTTCTATAACTGCTATGTTGGAAAAAATTTCCGGTCAATACTTACCACTGGGAAAAAATTCTGATAAGTATTTATAGTCAATCATGAAATGTTTTCATTGTACATGCCAATTTGCAACATTATTAGTTCTTATAAAAATTTTATCTATCTCTAATTTTATCTTCAATTTCTTTATCTAAACATATACAAGCAGTTCATATAAAAAATTTATTCCGAAACATTCCAATTTAACTAACTTTGAATAGTGTATTTCAGACTCTTCTGACACTCCATCATTAATGCAAATCTTTTGCGTAATATGGCATTGATATATTCTATATCTTCTAATATCTTGTTATCACTTTTAGCAAATGTATTTAACATCTAAAAATTATGAAGTACAAAGAGTCGGAAACTGGGCCTCTTTGTGAACATACAGTTGGAAAAATTACGATTTTTGCTTGCATTTGAATTTTGAGAAATTCAGCTCGAAATCATTCATATTAGTTTTAATACTGACACCTGTTTTTAAGCATTATTGCGATTACTGCTATTCGTAGAATAGCTAAGATTTTTTTAAATTGGGATGGGCTATTATAAGAGCACTGATGGTTTTATTTCCTATTTACAACTGGTCTATTTACAACTACAGAAATTGGGAGTATTGAGTGTTGCTAGTTTGGATATGATTTTGTATAAGACTTATTGCACAGTTATGTCGGCTGAAGATCGAGCATTCATTTACATTCAGATCACCAAATCGAGCGGTTATTTTATGAACTATATAGCGGCTAACTAGTCAATGATCTAATGGATTAAAAAAAAAAAGAAAAGAAAACTAGCCAAACGGATCCACTGAATGCAGAAAAAAAAAATATCACAATTTGTAATTCTGTTCTGCTTGTCTTTCGTTTCCAGATCAATCTCAATCATTGAAATATTCGCTTCTGTAATATTATTTTTAATTCTGATTTGTGTAACCATATTTTTGAAATTATTATATTACTAACTTGTACCTTTGGATCAAATGGTACCTAACAGAGCTTTATTCAAATCAATCTACAACACTTTTGCATTTCTAACCGATAGAAACTTTTAATAACAGTTGGCATTTTGTACTGAAGTTATGTACTGTTTACCTAATATAAAGCGAAGTTCCACAAGAAAACCATCACTATGTTGTTTATTGGACCATAAATATTTCAGGCTTGTAAGCGCTGAAAGAAGTTGAAAGTGAGCAACTGGTTCAAAAACTCGACTTTCTGAATCGGGCATTTTCGAGGAATGTTTCACCAATTCGCTTAGACAAAACCATTCTTTATGTAGTGAATTAGTATAGCGTTCATCTTCCAAGCGGCTGAAACAAAACATCAGCAAATGTCTTAGTTTTGTGAAATTTTATAAACACAAAATTTCGTTCACAAATTGAATATTACGGTTTAGAAGGGTATAGTTTGCACAAATTGATTTTTAGTCCTTAATGCAGCATACATCTGATTCAGATAACTAAAATCTTTTTATTTCCTTTTTATATGAAAAAATAATATATTGCAACAGATCAATACGAAAAATGCATATTTTCAGAATATTAATATTTTCAGAAATAATAATATTAATAACAACTACCACTGCGTAGAATTTCGTTCAAGTTGCTTTAGATAATCTCGCCTGAATTCTAAACATAGTCTTTCAGCCCAGACAACCTGAAGTAAATACAACGAAATGTGTTGACCCGACGGTTACTTCTAATCCAGTGTGATCAGTGAAAAAAAATTTCGATGCTATAATTTATAAAAACGTACTTAAAATTAAACAGAATTTAATTCACTTCATATTAAGGTAAATGAGCAATTAATAGAATGAAAAATATTGCTGTAAAATCATGTACGATATAGGCTATTTTGAAGATTAATTTAATCATGAATATAAATATTATTATTAACCAAAACAGTGCTGTGTCCAATTGAGGTACTGGTATTCAGGATCCTTGCAAAATGATGATAGAAACAAGTGCGCAAATAACTATTATGTTTTGTTCGTTCATCCAGCAATGTTAATTTTTGTTTCAGCATGCTTTCACGATCTTCGATGTTTAATCTGTGTAACAGTACTTTCTTTTATTTCAAGTTAATATTAATTAATGGCCTTTACATGAAAAGAAAAATCGAAAGAAAGTCATAAATGCGCATTCCAATAATATCGTTATTTCTATTAAATCTATACAAAACCCATATAGGAAAGTAATAGGTCGAAACACAAAGAACTTACGCTGTCCTCCGTATTTAACTAACTATTAGATGATTTTCAGGGAACTTTTTCGACAACGGAATTAATTTCCAAAAAAAAAAAAATTCTGTTCATCTCAAATTTTGGAAATATGTGGGTATATGAAGATACCTCTTATTCATAAGATATTGTTGCAACTGCATTAAGATACCAAGAATTCCCCATACTTTTTCCCTAACCAAAGAAGAAGATATCATCTGCTCAATTTCGAATTCCAATCCCTTGTGCTGCATTAAAAAGCATTTTCATTATTCGTTTCCGAACGTCATTAACGTAACTTTGCATTTCAAATACAAGAATTTCATTTTTTTTTTTCTTGAGAATCAGTCAAAAATTGAAGAGCCGTTAAAAAAAAACATCTGGAAATGCGGAAGATGTCAATGACTAAATGACTAAAGATAACGACTACATTGACTGATTATCCTAAATGATATGTAGTAAGGCCTTATTCTTGGAACATCAAACCTACTTTTTCAGTAATTTGTGACTGTTCGGCAGTTCGTTCCATCAAAAGCAATATATTAAAAAATCGACATACATTATCGAAAGAAAAATTAATCAAACATGGTATTTTTTTCTGAAAGGAAAAACTTGGAGAAAAAAAAAATTAATATTAGAAACATTGTTTCAATTGGATTTATAAATCAACCACGTAATGGTAGCTTTTCCAGAGTGAACGTATGTGCAATCGCACCATGGATTATTAATTAGTTGGACGGTCTGAGTTATTATCCATCCCAAAATAATTTTTCTTTTCAAAATTTATGTCAAAACTGGAAAAACTGAATCCTTCAAAAGCTTGAAATTGAAAGCCTACACTAAGGACAAGAGAGAACTTGGCCATTTCTCCAGCATGATTTTCCGCGATATTCTGCAACATTGAAAGCGTTGTAGTGATTTCTTCTTCCGTTCCACTTAAATGTTGAATAATGTGATCGAAAATCTGAAAATTAAGAAAAAAATAGGAAGAAATTCTATTTATGTGCACTCTTGCTTTTTCATCAAAAAATATACAACGTTTTAAATTCCCGACTTTAAAATTAGTAAAATAAGTTCAGATCTCATATCAAAAAGCGACCGAAATACACTATACCCTTGATTGTTCCGACGGAAGTTTTAAAAACAGTGTTTTATATCCATGAGCTCCAAATTGCATATAAACTGTCATCGGAGACCACATCAAATTTTCAAAAAATTACAGACTGATTGAAAAAAATGCATGATAAACTGAAATTCTTAAACTTTAAATACTGAAATCCATGAACTCAAATGCTAAAAAAATTGTTCGCGTAAGAAATACCAAATATGAATTGTCAAAAGACAAATGATTCATTCAGAGTTACAGATGATTTAAATTGCATTTAATTCCGTGTACAGTCCATGTCTTTACCGAGCAAAATATTGAAAAAAAAAGGCTATTAAAGTCATTTAAACTACAGAAGAGGTACCTCCGTATATTCAAAAGCTAATATAACAAGTTGTTCCAACTGGAAATGTTGATTGCATAAAATTTGTTGTTTGAAGATATTATGGATTGTATGGCTCCAATTACTCACATCCATCAAAGCAAAATAAAATAAAACATCAAAAAGAACCGGCACCTAAAATGACATTAAAAAATTAATAAATGTTAACTCAGAGATTATAAAAGTAATGAACGATTATAAAGTTATATTATAATATGACACACAAATAGCTTATAATATGACACAAGAAGCCATTTGCGAAATGCAAAAATCAGTCGGGTCATTCAATCCGATCTTTTTTTATTTCAGATACGTCTTTCAAAAATGAACCTTTTTTGCAATTGGAACAAGATCTTCCATAGATTCGTCAATATCACCTCTTTCATCTTTCTCATCATTTTGCTCTTGTTTTTCGGTGGTTAACATAACCACTGTGTCCTTCCAATAACGTCCATCACTGCTCTTCATTTTCTTTAAAATTATTTCGAAGATTTCGGTTATTACTTGGCCAACCGTTTTCTTACTGAAATCTGAAGATGTGATTAAAGAAAGAGAAAAAAGTAGAAAATAGGATTAAGAAATAGAAATATTAGACTAAAAATAAAACTCTAGAAAATTCCCAAAGAAAGAAAACTAGAATAAAAAAAATAAGTAAGCATAGACCAGTAAATAAAGTATGAACACTCGAAATAGGACTTCTTTAAAATTTTTAGGTTTACAGGTGGCAAAATGTAATACCCTGTTCCTGTTTCTGTACTTTTTAAATTTTCTATCTGCAGATGTACTCGAAGACTGCAGAGGATGTTTCGGAAGGCAAATTTTTCATTTTTTTGAATACTGTCCAAGCAATATGCTACCAATTCCGGCAAAATTTCCAGGTTCAATTTCATTAGGTTTTGCAACATGATTCCACGAATCTACAAACAATGGAATATAGCAGTGCATTTTCTAGAAGCTCTTAGAAGATTTCAAATTCAAAATAAATTACAAATAATACCGGAGCGAAAAAAAGGAGACAAATATAGAATCTCAACAGTAAAAAAAATAGCTTGTTAGGCCTGAAAATAAACTGAATTTTGAAATAGAAACTACTCTATTTGTTGTTTGTTCATCAGTACGAAGTAAAAGGAGTGTCTGAAGGATAGTGACTCGGAAGGCTAGTAAATTGTCACTGACTCTCCTCAGGAACATTTGTTGCAAATTATTTGCAGTATCTGCAAAGGAACGACATTTTGAAGCAAACAATACAAATGGATTTTAATAAAGGTAAATTATCTATGACAGCACTGTAAACTATGAAGATGGTAACCCAGGAACAAAGCATGACCAGATTAAATTATAACTTTAATTCATTCTTACTAATAAAATACTAATAATGGTAATTCAGAAATTTAATAAATGAAATCATCGACAGAATCGACCTTGCTGAACAATGTGACTAGGTAGAATTTCCGGTAGAACTTGTATCAAAGCATCACGTGGTGCACAACGCCAACTCTCCAAATCACAATCAAAAACTGAATTAAAAATCCGTTCACAGTCATATATACTATCCAAATAACGAAACTGTGCAATACAGGCAAGTGCAAGGCGGTCATTCTCCATGAAATCATCAGTAACGCTAAAATTGAATTAGCTGAAAAGAGCAAATATCCTAGAACTTTGTTTTTGCTTTTTTTTGCAGAAAATAAAAGAAAAAACTTTAACAACAAACGAAAATATAAGATGCTACTGAAGTATGGTACAATGAACAGGAACAACTTTAATATTACCTTGGTGTTGCAATATTTTCAAACCAAAGGAAAGAGAGAGAGAAAAAAAAAAGCAAACGAATTACATGATGCAATATAATCAGTTCTATTCATAAAAGAATTCTGCAGTTTTACCTTTTTGCATAAGCCTCAATCTTTCTAAGCATTAAATCGAATGTAACGGCTTGTGATGAATTTGACAGTAACAGGGCTCGCATAAATGTATCCTATAAATGCTTTAAGAATCAAAAATGATTTAAGAATCAAAAAATCCTAACTACTGATAACTAGAGAGAAAGTTAATTATAAACAAAAATTACTAATAATAGTTTGGTTAACGTTTTTCAAACTTTAAACGATCTATATAATGCGTTGCATGAAAGAAATCTTTCAGGGGTCTTATTATGTACGAAAATCTGACTGAAAAAGGATTACTGACCACATATCCCTCTTCGGTAGCGGAAGGTGATAAATATATTCTAAGTTTAGATTGTTCAACAATTTCATTCTCGAAAAGATTGAAGAAATTCGTTCTTTTCTATAACATTTTATGAGATAAATGTAAGTAGAAATTTTTGACGATAAATATAAGGAAGAAGTATACAAGTATAATGTAAAAAATATATTGATTATAATATAACTGTCTTACATTATCTTCTTCGCAGTATACATCCAATTTCATTACCAGATCATGAAAACTATTTGCTGTAAAAAATATAATATTCAAATATATTATAATCAATTATCAATTGCAAATCATTATCATAATGATATGCGTGACTACAATTATTAATTATGTTGCTCACAACAATTAAATGTGTGGATGGAATTTACAGGAAAAAAGGAAACCACTCAGCTAATCTATCCTATAAATAATATTTTGTATGTTGGAAGTAAAGGTCACATAAACTTAGCATGACCACGCTAACTTATGCGAGCAACACTGTTTAGTTAATACTAGTTATGAGAAGAGATGAAACTTACCAGAAGCAAACTTTCAAGAACATTAATTCTAACCTAGATATATTGATATCTCATCACCACCACTTGTGCAGATTTCAATTCCCATTTCTTCTAACAAATTCTCGAACGCAGTACGTGCAGGTATTTTACTAAAATTTAATTTACATACATTCCCATTTTGCGACTGCGTATAACACCGATCAAGAGCTCGACGAAACTCCCTTTCATCGACTATTGGATAATCATTTTCGAATGCATCATCCGCTATGGATGATACTTGAAATGATGCTAAAATATATGCTAATGACATTTCCAAATAAATTCTACCATTAATAAATTAAATCCAGATGGATTAAACCAGAAGTAATCGCTCAAATCAAAGCACCAAATATTTAAATAACTCCTCCAATTTAAATTGTTGAATTTAACTGAAGAAATCTTTGGAACTGGGAAACATATATTTATAGACAGATAGATCTGCTAAGTCCTTATCTAAGTAATATATTCCACTCACTGGTATAAGCTGTTTATTCCATTTTATTTTATAATTCAAAGATGATCGTCTTAAACAATGATAAACTAACCATTTATAGGAGGTGGAGTAGCAGAAATGGTTTCTGAGCTATCCATCGGCAATTTATTAAAATTTTCTTTGGTTGCTAATACATTTCGATCTTTTTTCGTCGAAACATCTTTTTCTATGTTCTTTGAAATATGCAAAATTTGATTGATAAAAAAAAGCACTTCAAACACTTCCATTATAAATGTATTTCATCCTAAATGTCAACAGCATCTAAAAATATTCAAAAAATTTGCTTCCTTTCACAAATGCTTTCCTTTCTTCCTGTTCCTCTTTTTTTTTTAAACTATGAACTATTTATTGTACAAAATTCAAATACGCCAAACATAATTTACCTATCAGTGAAGCATTCTTCTACTTTCTAATGTAATCCGAAAACATCTTTGATATTGTTCAAATGTTTAATTTTTCTTTTTTTGAATGTATTTCCCGCTCAGATGTCACGTCATGCAACGCATACTTCCCAGAAATAGATTGCTCACATCAGTCAAAATATTATTTAGACTTCACTGTCATCTCGAAATGTTTCTTATTCTAAATGTAAGCAATCAAGATTATCTTTTGCTAAATTCATTTAATAAAGATGTCATCAATAAGTTTGAGATATCAAAGCTTTTATCACAGTTATTAACTAATGCAAATCCATAATGAAATAAATAATCACACAAATCACACAGAATTTACATATTGCATATCAAATCTTTTCATATCACTAACATTACTAGAGAGATATGTTTCAAGTCTGCTTAATATTTTCCATTTGCTTTTGTATTTCATATGCACTTTCCAACTGTATAAAACGAGCCAAGAGTAATGGTAATGGCACCGTTGCTAAGTGAAATAATGAATGTGAATCAATAATCCAATATAATGGAACAAAATCTAGGACCTGAAATTGCCAAATAAATGAAATTGTAGAGAGAAGAACAAAAGTAATATTCGACTACTACATTTCTTTGTCCATTTCGGCAATGCAAAAAGAAACACTATAAAAAGAACATCTCAGAACTTTTGCAGAAGTCAAATTTTTCTTCGTTGAATTTTTTGCGATTAGAATTCTATATTATAAATTTAGCTATCTGCAGTGTTATCAATAGATTTGATACAGATAATATTACTTAATGCTTGATAATTCCTAATACCTCGACAAAAAAAAAAAAAAATTTGAAGATTTAAAGAGTATTTCTTTCTACATTAATTATAGGAGGGAAAGGAAAAAAAAAAATACTTCATTAATCGGTACACTAAATTCTTTCACAAATTAAATCAAAGATTAAAACTCTCATGCCTCCAATAGGACGGATAACAAGCCCCAGGTGACAACTACAGCTAAATATGATAACGATCGTCTACTTGAACGATCTCTTAGGTTCCATTGTTGCACCAGCCATATATAGTAAATAAAAGATGTAAAGAATGAACATGCAATACACATTTTCATATTGTAACCGTAGTCGAAATATATCTGTAATATATGAAAATTCTGCAATATATGGATTCGCAAACGAAAATTTAAACTACAATTCCCCAGGAAGAACCTTTTATATTCTAAGTGAAATGTAATCATTTGAATAATCGATCGATAATTCTTATATTCTTCTAGGACAATATTTGTAAGAAATGTTTTGAAAAAAGACAATTACTAACCATAAGATTGTATATATGATTTGCATACAGATATAGGAAAGTGATAAATAAGAAGAACCACCTAAACTGAAACAAATTGAGACACTTTTTGGTCCTAAAACAACAGCGAACAAAGATGATCATTTAATTCCATCTACTATATTGGTTTCATTTGAATAAACAAATATTACTGGGCAATTGATGACAAAAATATGTATTCGCTTACAATATCCTTCCTTGGTAACAATTTTGAAGTGACTTAATGGTAAATGAAATGCTAGCAAAAAGGGCAAATACAATGAATGCGCATGCAGTGAAGTAATCCAAATATTCGGTTAACCAAAAGTCCGCCCAATGAAAAATGACTGAACATGTCCTGAAAAAAAATTTTTGATATTACACAGGAGAGCTGATTTAGATATTTAGAAATCGAGATTCATAACGGCAAATAGAACACTAAGATAATATATTTGCCCTCTCTATAAACAGAACCGGTCTTAATTCTTAAAAAAAAAAAATGAACACTGAATCTTTGAGTCTAACCAATCCCCAAATTTTCAATATCTCTCAATTTTCAAACACATACATACACACACAAAAAAAAAAACATCTATTTACCACATTACAATTCCAATCATCGAATTAACAATCCAAACGATTTTTAAACGATTTGAATTACGAAGACGTTTAACTGTACGATACATAGATAACGTCGTGAGCAAATTCATTATTGAAAATATAACAGAAGCAAATTCCTGGAAAGAAAACAGTATTGTTTTGTAACTGAAAAAAAAAAAGTGTTAAATGAAATGGATGGAAATGAGGAAAAAGAGCAGAAGAAAACGTGAATAATTAAAGATAAAAACAAAGACAAAAAAAGAAGGACAAAATATTTCCTAATAAATAAACAGTAGAAAACTAACTTGTATTGGAAGAGGTACAATGAATGGAAGCCAAATAGCTAAAAATGGCCATTTACCATAAAACTGTGGCACAGATTGATGTAAGACATCATTAAAATATTCCACAGTTTTCCATTTACAACTATAACGACACCTGCAATTAACACTTTTAAATTAGGAAAACAAAAACAATAGCAATTAAATATTTACTACAATATCAGTCAAGGAACAAGAATGTTAGATAATTTCGAAAATTTTAAAAGATAACTCATAATATATTATGCATAAATCTTTAATTAAATAATCCATCTATTAAATTAATTTATAATTTATACTTACTTGAAACATTCACCAAATATCCAACCAATCTCATCATATTTTCGTGGACAGTTATATCTTCTTATACACGTTTCTATACATGTCAGAAAGACTTGATGCCTATCACCAGTTGACCCATCCGTTGCTTTTGCTAATAATGTCAATGCAAATAAACCACTTGTTGTTGCTACTACAGCCATATATTACTCTTCATCTATAGGTTTGAAAGTTTCTTCCTTCCTTTTTTCGTTCGCTTAAAGGATTTTCTTTTTTCACAAAAAATTTCCTAATTTTACGAAACATTCATAATATACGTACAATTTTCTAGCCCATATATTTATATTAGCAAAAATTTGAATAATTTCAAGAACATCTTTTTAATAATGATTTATTATAATGATTAGAAATGACTACTCCTGAGAAATCATAACACATTCATTTGAGTATAACACATATTTTTACTGCATTTTACGCGCTTTCCCATGATGATCTTATTGTATGATGTTTATGGAATACTTTATGGCACGAATTAAAGTTTATTCGAACAATATTTACTAAGTTACGTGGAGACGAGGAATAAATTCCTGAAGAAATGAAATCCATAAATTTATTCTATTGCTCATTTTTTAAACATAACCAACATAAAATAACGACATCAAAAATAAGGAGAACAAATATTTATTACAACAAATTTCTTTTCTTTCTCCCGTTTTAAACCTTCTTTCATCGCCCCATTTATTTCACTACTATTCTGCTTTATAAAACTTCTACTAAATATTTTAGAAAATTGAAAATAAGACTATCTCTACACTATTCCTATTTGTCCAAAAACAAAACTGGAATCTTCACATTAAGTATCTGTTAAAAGCAATCTTATAATAAGCTCGAAATCTCAGAATATACAGCCGAAAATAAATGAGAGAAATATGTTAAGGCAACCAGTACATTCAGGTACATACTAAAATAACTACAATTCAGCATTTAAAATTACTATAAGGATGAACTGTTTTTACTCTACCTAGAATCAGGCCAAAGCTTAATCTTCCAAGCACTTGTCCTCATCGAAAACACGCGAGTATGATACTCGCAAAAGAGTTTCAATATAACAAGACAATTTAAAATGAACATGGAAGCATTTTGTTCAAGCGTTCTGGCGTTCACGTTTTCAGAACGTCAGGACTGGCGAAGTACACACCAATCACAATGTCAAATAAGAGATCAACGTCTCATTCAAGTTTACAGCAGCTCATAATAATGAACAGTTCCCAAATGGAAAAAATATCTGAAAAGAAAAAGTGAAACCCGAGCAGTGTAAATGTCATAAAAACTCCTACAGCATATTTGTACCTTCGATTGACGAATCAATATAAATAGAAAGAAAGCCCGTGAACTAATAAAATTACATCTTGCATTTATAGTAAAAAAAGAAATATTCGATGAACAACAACTTCAACCTAATTTCTGTTAGAATATAGACATTAGTTAGATACCTAAGATAAATATTTCGATTAAAAAAAAAAAAAATCATTAAATTTCTTTCAAATGAAAATGATGTTATGAACATGGAAGAATCTTTTCTAAATAAATTTGACCGCAAAACAGTTTGTGCACAACCAAAAAAAAGGCATATAATAAATAAAGTACTAGAAAGCGCTATGTACATGTTCTGGATCAGTAATGCCAACAGTCACAAGGTAGAATAGTGATGGTAATGGTATAAGAAGAATTGCAAATAAAGATATAAGTGTTCCACTAGCTGTTATACGATTTAAAGTTAACGTTAAGATGGAGAAGCCAAACAGAGCCATATGAACAATAAGGATAAAGAGATTACGCGGTTTGTATATCATTTCGTAATACAGTTTACATATCGATTTTTCTCGTTTAAGTGCCATATGAAGTGCATTCAAACTTAGGCTACATACCAAAGCTACATAACCAAAGCTGTAGTAGAGCAGACCTGCCTGCAATATATTCATCAAAATACCTAGTTAGAATATTAATATTGAGTACATATGAATTAAATTCATGAAAACTAAAAGAGTAAGAGTTACTTAATTTAAATATTGCTTGACTATGAATTGTGAAGTAACAAAAACAGAAGATTAAAAGTCAGACAGATTTCAAATAGAGAATTTGTTGTTGTAAAAATTAATCCGAAATATCAAAATCAAGCTTAATAAAAAAAATTAAATTAAAAATTGAAAACTTACAAAAAGTGCATGAAAGAGGGCTATCACTGGGATGGCAAAAAGTGCAGCATAATATGGGTCACTGGCGATATAGCTATTCTTGAGTACTGTTAAGTAAAGAATTGAGCGCAAAATAATCAAACACATCAAACAGAATGCCAAATAAATGAAAGGCAAGGAATATCTAAAATGATCAAATTAATATTTTCACTCAAACCTGAAACAATATGAAATACAAAGTCGCACAGATAAAACATGTAGGAACCTGCAAACCTCCAGAATTCAAATTAGCGTATTCCGACTGAGAATCGCAATCATACATCAATGAATTCTAACGCACAAACTCAAAACACGATATTCTTATTGCATTAAGCAACTACTTTTTCATTTGGATCAGCTGACAGGATAGTTTCAAAACGATCAGCTTTAATCAAAAAGAAAAAAACTCACAGTGGAAAGACTATTTCCTGTGTACATCGCAAAGTATATGTATGATTAACGACAGGATTGTAAAATACCGGATACCAGTCCCGCAATGAATTCTTAATGCAACCATAAAGAATTGGAGTGCCACGTGGTGGCATTACAAGAACAGAGAATAGGGCGGATAGGGTGCATTCTAATAAGCAACATAAATGTTGTAAGAATAGGTGCTGCCGAGTACTGAAACAACATTGAGATTTCGTTTTATTAAGGAAAAAAAATCTTTACAGTATTATTTTCTCTTGACTTATTCGGACAAAAAAACAAAGACAATATATTAAATGCATTAAATCTAAAATAAAATATTCATATAAAATATGTCCACAATTGAATCGACAATACTGAATCTGTTGTAGTATGAAATGTTAAAATTTAAGCTTTGTAATCTTGTAAAACACAAGTAAGTTGCAATAATGAGTCCATAACTAAACTTATGACAATTAAAAGAAGACGGAATAGAATGGTTATGTTATTAATTCTTTTCTATGTTATTAACAATTTATTTATTTCCGTTTCTGCAGTAACTTTAATCCAAGTTAATACCAACAGATACAAAACCGAGACTGAAGACCATTAAGTTTTGAGTCTGTGGAAATATTAAAAAATGCAAGTATATTCATGTATGGAGTAAAAATTGCTTATATTTAGCGTGGTTGAAGATTCATACTCTTCAATTATATGATTAGAATGGGAAATAAATACATATCATGTTAAATGCTTTCTCAATGAAGCAGTCTCTGTTAATCATTATTAGAATTGTACATGAAAACAATGAACATTTTGCTGCTTATTTACTCTTACATCATCAACACTACATCAATGCTATTATAAAAATTCTTTCCGTTGCAGTGTAACATTACATATATTTGTTTCTTTTTTTTTTTTAATTTGTATTATATATTTTTGTTCTCGTTCAATGAACAAAATTAGGAAATGGACAAGTTACATGATGGTTACCTTTTAGAAAAAGCCATATTTATTATATTTCTTTTTTTTAAGTGTTGTTCCTCTAATTTTCATTTCCTCCTTAATTAAACAGTAAGAAGGGAAAGAGCTTGTAATAAGTGAGTTGAACAATGCAAAACGGTACAGCTGACCTTTTAGGAGGAGCATACAGTTGCACGAAGAACGAATTCAATAGCAAAGGGACTAGAGCAATAAAAAGCAGATAAAGCCAATCGTAGAGAGGTAAGAGATCATCACATGAAGAGCAAAGAAACTTCTCGACACTTCGATGACCCCAGCTACAAGCCTGTAAGCATTCCATCCAGTATATATAGTTTCACATAAAGATTATAAACTATATAGTGATCCTCCTTTCGACTAATATTATCATTAACGCATTGACTTTAATGTAAAATCATAACATACTTATTGTTCTTATTATTTTGTTTATATCTTACATCTTCTTAATATTTGTACCATATTACTGCTTATCAATTATAGCTTTCACAGATGAGTAAACATATATTTAAACAAAGTTCGTGGTTAAAAATAGCAAAGATTCATTTTGACAAAATTACAACACAAACGGACCTGACAATTGGAATAAGTAACATTTCCAGATGACGATGTGGTTGCCTGACGACCACAAAAGCCGGGGCAACTATTGACGGTAGCTAGTCGTGACACCCCCGACCCATCATCTACCATTTTATGTCATACCTGAAAATTGCAATAACACATAACCAAACCGATGATTCTCATACTATTTGAAAGAAAATTATACAAAAGAATGCCGAGATAAAATAGTCACAAAAAAAAAAAAAAAGAAGGGAATTCCCTCTGCTAAAATTCATACACACCAAATAACCAATTATGCATCTACTAAGCACTGAGCTAATTAAAGCTGATTTGTATAAGAACAAATGATTTACAGTTTAGCTAATCTGGTGACATATATATTGTTATTTCGATAAACCTCTGCTACCATGCATTTTACAGCACCACAAACTGAGCCAAATAACACTTCTAACTTGAAATTCCATGCAACTTTCTGACTCCTTCAACAGAACCCTCGTCATACTTTTAGCGGCCCTATGTGAAAACGTCACGTCTACACTTTAGCATTGTAGCGAAAATTCAAACGCAAATTTATTGCAAATATTAATCAGCGAATCAAACAATAACAATGTCATTTCACATTCAAAGAGAGTTTTGTAACAATGATAGGCTAATTAGAATATACGATACTGCTATTACATCATTTTAATGAAAGTTATTAAAAGTTATGAGGCGGAAGGATTTTTAGCAACAATTCAAATCAGTTAAATCGTGCAGGGTATTTAAAAGTATTCCGAATTAAAGTGCTATCAAGTATGGTATTGAAATGATGAAAAAAGAAACAACTATATTTGATTATTCTGAGATTTTTCAAAAATTAGAATAACGAGATAATAACAGACGAGAGCTTTTAAAAGATGACAACTGTTTTCCGTCTTCTCAAGTTGAAGAAAATAAAATAAAATCTGTTATGAAATTATGAAATCGAGTAGAAAATCATGGAAGTCCAGTGAGGAGCAACCTTTTCGAAGGTATGGATATTCGTAGAGGACTTTTGAATCATTGCTTCAATTCTTTATTTCGTTGTCGTCGATGCAGAGAATTTTCTAAAGCTTTATCTGAACTCCTTCTTAAATCATTCCAAGTGAGGAATGTCACATCATCGGCTATTTCTGATCTCTTCAGCTCCTTCAACTCTAAGTTATGCTTTGTAATAGTCCTTTGAAGGATTGTGATATGCAAAACTGAATAATACAAACTTTTTACTCCCTAATTCATATTCTTGAATTGGAATGAATATTGGTAAAGCTACTGTGATTTGATTTTCTCAAGCACATAAAAACTGCTGAATGCGTTGTAGAGAAAATTCCTGAATCTTCATCAGCAATCCAAAGATTTTAACACCAGTTTAAAAGCACTAAACAATTTCTATACATACTTAAATGCCATGAACAGGTAGTATTCTTGACGAAGTATAAATTAGTTTAAACCTTAGATGGTGCTCTTTCAGTGTACACTTCCGGCTGGACAAATAATCTGTTTGTCTTGCCCACTGAGTCAATGCTGCATAAGTTAGACTATGTGAAGAAACCAAAAAGAGTCTGTATCATCCAATAAAGAGCAATTCCCGTTAGGCACATGAAATATGCAAAAATGATGATCAGCAAGGAAGAAATTATTGGATAATCGTGAAGAAAGACACGTAATAAACCAAAACGAACCCTGAATGAGAGTTTTCCTGATTCCACCTGAAATGGAATTATTGGATATTCGTGAAGAAAGATTCGAATATTCAAAAAATACTTCGAATTCATCATTCTTTTATGCTTTACGATACGTTAAGGAATACCTCAATAAAGCGATTTTGAAGTTGTACATAAAGTAATGTGGTGTTATCTAGATCACTGTCAACAAAATGATTGGTGAATGAGACTTCTAATTTACGATTATCTGATATAGTCAACAATCCAAGAAAATAAGCAGGAAAGAATAGTGTTTGGCATGCCTGAAAGAAATTATAGTCGTTTAGATCTCTATAAAATATCACAAATTATTGCTTCCTTTAATATCTAAAAACTAGGCAGTATTAGATATTCACTTTTTTTGAAACCTGTTTCCCTGAAGTTGAAGCTTAAATTTAAAGGAGTTACCGATAACCATGCATGAAATGTGTATATTAGTGCATATAAATGTTAGTAAAGACAAAATTTATTTTTGATGGCTGATTTTTGTCTATTTCTATTAGCAAATATGATTTCTTCGAATCTCAGAAAAATTTTCTGGCAAAAGCAACATATTCATTCATAAGAAGTACTATTCGTTTCAGATAATTTATTTATTTAAGATTAATGTAACGTAAGTATCAGCTCGTGCTGATAACTGAAAACTGATCCGTAACTTTTACTGAGAATTTTAATTGAATTCTAATTCTAATTATTTATTCAACTTTAAACACATTTAGTTTCAACTATATGAGCAACTATTCAATAACAAGTGACTAAAGGATCAATGAAAAAATGAAGAACTGATCCTAAGCTTGCAAATAACACTGATGTTGTAGACTCTGAGTACTTGATTAATGATAATGATAAAATAATTTAAAAGATTTTAATAATTATGGAAAGAGATAATTTATTTTATTCAACCAGTGACTAACCAAATTCCACCATCCTTGAACTATGCGATATATCAAACTACGATGTCTATTCACAAAACACGACTTCCGAAATGTCCTTTTCATATTTCTTGGGTCAGTTGGATCAACCAACTCAACAACGGCTTGAAAAATGCCAACATTTGAGGCGATCGTTGATTCTGATAGAATAATTTCAATGCTAATTTCATAATTTTCTCCCGGTGATAATTTCAGCTTTTCCTGCAAATGATAAATGGGTTATTTCAATTTTGGCTATTATCTTCTCTCCTACTGTTGACATAACGGTCTTTCGACAATTGCTTCTTCTGAATTGTGCAAAAGAAAGGCTTACCACCGAGAAATCAACCACAGCAATTGGAAATGAGCAAACACCAGCAAGTTGTTCACGACATGTCTCAAAATTGAAATGCAACGGTACTGTATATTCCACTAATGAAGGAAGCAGAAGTTGTCTGAAAATATTTACAATAAGAACTGTTTAATGTTTCTCATTCTTGCATAAATTCAAATTTACTTAAACTAAAACTAACTAAACTTGATAACATCAAAGTAACAGCAATATGAGGGATGTAAAAATTAACATCAATAGTAACAAATAATATAAAAAAGACAAAACAAAAAGTATCAAATTCAAACAAAGGACAACAAAAAGAAAAAAACAAGAACAAAACAGAATAGAATGTATTTATATGCTGCAAAATCCTGTAAGTAGTAACCTGAGAAGAAAAGGCGAAATAACAGCTAAAACAAAAGCACCAAACAATTGGATTGTTGCAGTGATAATGTGATAAATTGTAAACCTATCACGTATCCATGAACTGATCTTTTCCATCACAAGCATTCATCTATTCCTTCAACTACACTCAAATTAAAAAAAAAAAAAAAAAATCAGTTAGGCGACCGAACGACTGTATCGGATTGGGACAATCTTGAGAAAACTCCAAGCACAGTGTTAAAACACCTGGATGAATTCAGTGCAAAATGTGTTATACAGAAAATCATGTTTCTCTGGGATTCTGTCTTTACCTGACAGCGTACCACACTACCTTTCAGCGATTAAAATTAGTGCCGTGTAGTTCGGTGGGAACCTAATTCGATACAGCATTGAATAATTAATAATAATTAACAACAATTATTGCCATCATTAATTAGTAATGATCATTAATTGTAATACTGATAATAATAATAATTAATAATGGTAACAATAACTAATAACAGTGATAAATAACAATAATAACAATAATAGTAATAAATAATAATAATAATAATCAATAACAATAATAATCAATGATAATAACAACAATAATAATAATAATAATAAGATAACAATAAATAAATATATAATAATAAGTAATAATAATAAATAAATAATAATAATAGTAATAAAAATTAATAATTGATAAACGTACTGCAATGTGCACTAACGTAAATTTTCGCTTAAACTGAACACTGAGAAAGGAGGAAGTAATAAGCATTATCAATTAGCATTGTAAGATAAGGCGCTCTCTGCATGGCTTATTATGTGTCGAGGCGCAAAAGAGCTGAAGCAAACGAAAAGAGTGATCGAGTAGATTTTATATCTATGAATCAATTTAGTAATGAAAGTTATTCCAATTGATACTTACAAAAATATAATAGCATAGGTAGAACGAAAAATATGTGATGAATCTTAAGCTCTAATGAAAGTAAAAATAAAACTTCAGAGAGCCACAAATATTGTAAATTTTTCGAAATGAAAACATTACAGATAAAAATAAATGAAAATGAATCTTTGATTAATTGAATTTCAATTAATTCTTAACACTGTCTTAATTACGAAGATACATGGGGCAAAGAGAGTGAGGGAGAGAGAGAGGGAGAGGGAAAGAGAAAGAGAGAGAGAGGGTACATCTCTGAAATAACTCCTTGCAATCAGTTCTACTCAATCTTTTGTCTAAACTGGGAACATTATGCAAATGTTACATTTCATGGATTTAATGAAAAATGAAAATTATGGTAGATGATTGTTTTAGCAATAAGTTACACATTTGTTATGAGATAAACTTTTAAATAATGCAATAATACATTTAATTAATTTATTTCATCCATTCATTTTTATTGATTTATATAAGAAAATTTGCATATTATGAAAAAGAGTTATTGTGAGAAAAATTTTTTGCTATTTAAATTGTAAAAATTATTTTTTGATAGTAGTTTGTTATTTGATTATTTGCTCCTAAAGTTTATTCTTTTGCTATTATTAATCATCGTACAAGCGGACATAAATTTAATCATTAATTAAAAAAGAAAAAAAAAATTAATAAGAAATGGTAGAATTTGATGGTGCACATTCATTGTCATCTTCCGCATCACAAACATTTGAAGATCAAAATCGTTTACCGCAAATTGATGATATTGTTAAATCATCAAATCGTACCTATCATTTGATTGCTATTTTAGGTGAGGGTGGATATGGGAAGGTATTTCATGCAATACAAAATGGCAAGTGAGTCATTAAAGGTTAAAATTAGAAATATAAATTTTTTTCTTTTCGATTTTAAAAATTTTTTTCATTATAATTAATCAAATATTTATAATGTCTCTAATATTTAATATTGATATGAAACTTAACTTAAATTATTTCAAATTAAAATTATGTTACTATTAATTATTTATTAATTTATTATCATTATTATTGTCATTAATTATTGAATTTCAAGTATGATAAAATTCTTATTTATATTTAAATTTTACATAAATATTAAATATTCAACATATACATATTGATATTTAATTTATTCTTATCAAAGATTTATTTATTATTATTATAATAAATGAATGGAAAAGAAGAAAAAATCTTACATTGATTTATAATTTATTTAATTACATTCAATTTTTAGAAGTTATGCATTAAAAGCAGAAAAATATAAAAGTTCAATGCTTCATATTGAAATTGCTGTGCTAAAAACAGCACTGAAACGAGGAGCTGAGCATATTTGTGAATTGCATGATTATGTAAGGTTTTTTGTTTTTTTTTTTTAAATTTTCAATTTAAACTATAAGTAGCAAAATTAATTAATTATTTTTAGCAATTGGATCTTATTGTTTATGAATGAAACAAAATTTTAAGAGTTTAAGTGATTATAATTTTGCTAAAAGGAAGCAATGATTAAAAAATATTATCATTTTTTTTTTTGTCATTTATGTATTATTAATAAATTTAATGAGTGGAAGATATTTTTGAAAAGAATAATTTTCTATGCTCTCCTCTCTCTCTCTCTCTCTCTCTCTCTTCTAAGATATATTGTTTAATTATTGAAATAGAGTAGAAATTATAATAGTTTTTGATAAAAATGCTGTAAAAATTATGAATTCTAATAATAATTAACATTTTTTAATTTTTTTTTTTTTTGTTTTAGGGTGCAGTGAAACCAGACTTTGTATTTATGGTAGTAACACTTCTGGGCAAAGATTTATACAAATTACGTAACGAGCAACCTGATCGACATTTCTCGATCAGTTCTGCAGTTCGTGTTGGTATACATACCTGTAAAGCTATTGAAGAATTGCACAGGTAAGCTAGTAGATGCATAATAATTGTTAAAAAAAAAAACCGTTTGTGCTAGTTTTTTGTTTTTCAAAATAATTTTTGAAAATGATTTTAATTTATTAGCCATAATTAGCAAATTCTAATTCTTTGCTTTTTTTTTTAGATTTCTAAAAATATTTTTCAAGTATGTTTTTTTTTTTTTTTAATTTAATAATCTTATTTAATAAATTCTAATTCTTTGTTGTTGTTGTTGTTTTTTTTGTAATCAACAAATATTCGTTGTATATTTTGAAATATTTTATCTTTTTGTTTTTAATTTAAATTTTTGTAAATTTTTTAATTTAAGCTAAGTTCCAAATTTACAATTTTAGTAAATAAACAAAAAAAAATTATTACTTTAAGGATTGTATATATATATTTTTTATTTTCATACACACAAATTACTTTTATTTTTTTCAGTTGTGCATTTCTTTCACGTGATATCAAACCAGGAAATTATGCAGTTGGATTGGAAATTAATAAACAACATAAAAGATTTTTCTTATTTGATTTTGGTCTTGCAAGACGATATCTTGATAAAGTAAGGTTTAATTTTACTTAAATACATTATTTAAATAAATTAATTGGATTAAATATATTGTTAAAATTAATTCATATTTCAATGATTGCAAATAAATTTTAAAATGATAAAATACAATGAAAACTTTCTAATCATAATTATGAAAAAAATTTTTTTTTTCCTCGAGATTTACTATATTTTTTTCGCGGTTTTTTTTTTTTTTTTTTTTTTTGGAGTAATATTCCATATTACTTTTATAATTCTTATTTTTTCGTTCTCATAACTTTTAGTTCTCATAATTCCTACTTTTTCTTTTTTATAACAATGATAAGAAAAACGAAAGAGAATACTTATTATCAAATCTTGTTTTGGTTGTAGAATGGTAAGCATCAAAAATCGAGAGGTGAAATTGGTTGGCGTGGTACCACTCGATATGGTTCACTGAAAGCTCATCAAAAGCAAGATCTGGGAAGACGAGATGATCTTGAATCGTGGTTTTATTGTTTGGTAGAAATTACCTGTGGTATGTTACCATGGCGACATGTTGCTGGTATAACTTTTATTTTTTTTTTTTTGTTAATTTTTGATCTTAGAAAATTTGCTTAATTATATTTGCTTATTATTAATTACAACATTTTTAAGCCTAAATAACTGTTAATTATTAATTACTATATTTTTGAGTCTAAACCATATAAATTTTGCTTACTAATTATTACATTTTTTTTGAGACTAGATAATATAACATTTACTTGTTAATTAGTATTAATTACTACATTTTTAATCCTAGAAAATTTGCATAATTATATTTGCCTACTTAAGATAGATCAAACATCAATTCTCAGACTTCAAAATTTTTGCTTAAATTGAATAATAAGAATTATGAGATTGAGAAATTGTGCAAACTATGAAAAAGATTTAAATTTTTACAGTGTTATAAAATATTTCACTAATTCGATATATTAAAAAGATAAATTAAGGTTGCAATGATTTTTTTTTTTTTTTTAAATAATAAATAAAAAAACAATAAAATGAGATTGTACAAATTAATGTATATGAATCATATTTTTATAGAATATAAATATATTTTTTTTCCCAAAAAATTATATTGTATTTTAGGAAAAACTGAAGAAAAAAAGATTTTTTGCAAAAAAAAAATTACAAACAAAGAAATTATAATTGTTATCATTTTCACTATGCTTTTTCAAAGTTTAAATGGAAGATTCTGAAAAAGTTTTAAGTGAAAAAAATTTTGTTCAAAGAAATTACTGTCTGAGAAATAATTCACAGGAGAATGTCAATTGTATACACAAAAGAAAGAAAGAAATACCTTGTTGAAAGAAAGAAAAAAATAACTAAAATTGAACTTATATGATGAAATAAGTAAGTAAGGATATTTTAAGTATAAGTAAGTAAAGAATATCTTAGGAGTAAGATAAGTAAGTAAGTAAGGAGTAACTTAAGAGTAAGGATATCTTAAGTAAGAATATCTATCTAATGTTGTTTTTTTAGAAGTTAATTGAGAAAGTGAAAGATAAATCATGGAAGAAGGAGGAAGAGAGAGAGAGAGGGAGAGAGAGAGAAAAAGAGAAGAAAATTGCCATTTTATTAAAGATAAATTAAAATTTTATTATTTTAGATCGTGATATTGCATATCAAGGTAAGATGAAGGCACGAAAGGAAGGACGAAAAGAATTTCTAATGAATTGTCCAAAGCAATATGATTTTATTATGGCACTTATTGATCGTTTGAATTTTGCAGATCAGCCAAATTACAATGATATATACAAGCTTTTAGATCAGGTTTACTTTTAAATAATTAATTACTTTACTGCTAATTACGATATTTCTTTTAGCTCAATATTTTCTGGAAGAACTAAAAGACAGTCATTTCGAGATGATATTAAAGAGTACTGTCCTGTGATACCGCTATTATTGTTTGATTAACTTTTACTGTACAAAGTAAAGAGAGTAAGAGTGATTTTTGCAATCAATAATTTAAGTGAAATTAAATTCTGAAGCTTATGCTCAGATGATACAGATACGGGAAGAACACAGTGTGCTGATGGATGAGCAATACGACTGGGAAGAAGATGAGACGACAAGTCCGCAGCAGTTGAATGGTGCGCAAATGACAGAGTAAAGTGTAAAAGAAAAGCTTTCAAACAAATATTAAATTGTAATGAGTGTTTCAGAGTTCTGATGAATGGTTAATATAATGTGCTTTTGTTATTTTAAAACTGAACGATATTTCTTACAACTTTTTGCGGTTGTTATTTCTTACGTACGCTTAAAACGTGTGATTATTACGCATCATTGCAACACTAATTTTATTTATTATTGGTTAAGTACAGTTGACAAGTATGATTGACACAATGCATCTTCTAAACGTAACATTGAATTTTTAGAAAAATAAAAATTCTATCTAATGAATTGGTCTCTCAGTTAATTACAACACTTCCGCTTACTTTTACTTTTGACATTTTTTTTAGTATAACTTTGCGATTATATTGTAAAATAGTTTTATAATAAAAATATCATTCATTACTTTTAGATTTTTGAATGATTTTCTCTTATTCTTCTTTAATATTTGAAAAAAATTTTTTAAAAATTAGCTAATTTTTCTAAAAAAAAAAAAAGCATTGTTTATTGTTTTATGTTTGAATATGAATTATTTGATCAATTGAATAATTTCAAATTGAAATTTGAGGATATTTTGTTTGAAATACATTAATAGAATGATTAGATTATTTTTTGAGCAATGATTAATTATGTTAATATATTCATAAAAGATAAATTTAATCATTTCTAGGTGTTTATTTTTGAAAATTAAAATAGTTAAATTTAAAAAATCGAAGACCAAAATGAATATTTATTGAAAAAATATTATTGTATTTTACAGCATTAAATTAACTTTTTCGTCATTTTTTTTTAATTCTTTTATATCAGATAGTCCAATAATTTCAATTTTTTTAATTTGTTATCATTTATAATCATCGAATTGTTTATTTGTTCGTTCCTTTTTTTCTGACCAATTCTCTTCTTTTCTAATAAATAAAAGAGTGCTAGGAGAATTATTTTTAGGTAATATAAGAATGACATTATTTTTCTTTTTTAAATTCAAAAAAAAAAAAATTTTAAAAAAAAATTAATATGAAATTTAATTTAATATCCAAAAAATTTAAAGCGAAGGTTAAAAAAAAACGAAAGTTAAAAAAGTTGAAAGTAAAACAGGCAATTGCAAATCTTTTCCTTTCTTGTTTTTTTTTTTTAATTTTACATTTTCATTTTTGACTAAATAATATTTTTTTCAGTTTTTTAATTTTAACTTTTATTTTGACTAAATATTTATGTTTTTTTTTAGTTTAAAATATGCCTAATTAATGCTGAAATTTACAAATTTTACAAAATAAAAATTTACAAAAAGTTAGTTTAAAAAAAGTTAGAAAAAAATTTCTATGCCATTTTCTTTTTTTAAAAAATTTTTCCAAAATAACAAACTAAAATCCTCTTACAGTTCAAAAAAAAAAAAAGAAAAAATTCTAGAAAACTCATTCAAAATTCCTTGAACACTTTTCATACAAATATATTTTCTTAAAAGATTTGAATGATATGATAAAAATGATAATAATTAGCTTCAAAAGAGCTAATAGAATGATTGATATTAAATTTTTAGCTATTAGAAAATTCTTTTAAAAAAAAAAATAAAAGATAGATATACTGCACTTTTTATAAGTTTTTCAAAATTTTTTCATTTTTTTTTTTCTTTATGACTTTCAACTGATCTTTCCATTTTGAACACAACCAGTAATTGAAATTTTATCATTTATGACACTTACTTTTACTTTTACTTTACATCATTACTTTATTACTTTGATCGTTCATCAAAGTAATTTATTGACTATCTTTTGAGAAAGACAGAGAAAGAGAAAGGGAGGGAGAGGGAGAGAAAAGTATGGAACAGAGAGAGAAAATGTATTATTTGATTAAAAGAAAATCAAAATTCTAAAGCAAAAAACAAAATGTAATGAAAGATTAAAAGAATTTTTAATACAAACTAATATAACTTTATTGAAGCTCTTATGGAGTGTTTGAATTTAAAAAATGGATGGAAGTCTTCTGTAGTAGATGAAACTTTTTGTAATTAAATAATTTTGAATTAGATTTCTTTTAATACTTTTCAAATAATTAATTATCTCATCGTTAATTACGAGCAGTTTAAGTTTAATAAACTTAGATGTGATTACGTACCGTTTTTGCAACACTAATTTGCTTATTATTGGTCACGTATAGTTGACATAATGCATCTTCTAAACGTAATATTGAATTTTTAGAAAGATAAAAATTCTATCTAATGAATTGGTCTCTCAGTTAATTACAACACTTTTGCTTACTTTTACTTTTGACATCTTTTTAACATAACCTTGCGGTTATATTGTAAAATATTAATGATAAATATCAGCTTCCCGCTTTACGTGTTTCACGTCACGTTTCAATTTTACCTCCTCCCATCACGTCACGTTTTACTTTTATTTCCCATCGTATTAGACAATTGCCCATCAAATGCTATTCATCTTCCTAGTCAATTAATTCATTGCGCAGTTAATTTAAAGAAACTTTTTGAATTTGTTCGATCATTTAATCACACCCAAATTCTTCAAGGCGGAAATTTCCTATTATTTCCATTAGCGCTTGTTTTCTCAGTAGTGTGCATCTATCTATCTATCTATCTATCTATCTATCTATCTATCTATCTATCTATCTATCTATCTATCTATCTATCTATCTATCTATCTATCTATCTATCTATCTATCTATCTATCTATCTATCTATCTATCTATCTATCTATCTATCTATCTATCTATCTATCTATCTATCTATCTATCTATCTATCTATCTATCTATCTATCTATCTATCTATCTATCTATCTATCTATCTATCTATCTATCTATCTATCTATCTATCTATCTATCTATCTATCTATCTATCTATCTATCTATCTATCTATCTATCTATCTATCTATCTATCTATCTATCTATCTATCTATCTATCTATCTATCTATCTATCTATCTATCTATCTATCTATCTATCTATCTATCTATCTATCTATCTATCTATCTATCTATCTATCTATCTATCTATCTATCTATCTATCTATCTATCTATCTATCTATCTATCTATCTATCTATCTATCTATCTATCTATCTATCTATCTATCTATCTATCTATCTATCTATCTATCTATCTATCTATCTATCTATCTATCTATCTATCTATCTATCTATCTATCTATCTATCTATCTATCTATCTATCTATCTATCTATCTATCTATCTATCTATCTATCTATCTATCTATCTATCTATCTATCTATCTATCTATCTATCTATCTATCTATCTATCTATCTATCTATCTATCTATCTATCTATCTATCTATCTATCTATCTATCTATCTATCTATCTATCTATCTATCTATCTATCTATCTATCTATCTATCTATCTATCTATCTATCTATCTATCTATCTATCTATCTATCTATCTATCTATCTATCTATCTATCTATCTATCTATCTATCTATCTATCTATCTATCTATCTATCTATCTATCTATCTATCTATCTATCTATCTATCTATCTATCTATCTATCTATCTATCTATCTATCTATCTATCTATCTATCTATCTATCTATCTATCTATCTATCTATCTATCTATCTATCTATCTATCTATCTATCTATCTATCTATCTATCTATCTATCTATCTATCTATCTATCTATCTATCTATCTATCTATCTATCTATCTATCTATCTATCTATCTATCTATCTATCTATCTATCTATCTATCTATCTATCTATCTATCTATCTATCTATCTATCTATCTATCTATCTATCTATCTATCTATCTATCTATCTATCTATCTATCTATCTATCTATCTATCTATCTATCTATCTATCTATCTATCTATCTATCTATCTATCTATCTATCTATCTATCTATCTATCTATCTATCTATCTATCTATCTATCTATCTATCTATCTATCTATCTATCTATCTATCTATCTATCTATCTATCTATCTATCTATCTATCTATCTATCTATCTATCTATCTATCTATCTATCTATCTATCTATCTATCTATCTATCTATCTATCTATCTATCTATCTATCTATCTATCTATCTATCTATCTATCTATCTATCTATCTATCTATCTATCTATCTATCTATCTATCTATCTATCTATCTATCTATCTATCTATCTATCTATCTATCTATCTATCTATCTATCTATCTATCTATCTATCTATCTATCTATCTATCTATCTATCTATCTATCTATCTATCTATCTATCTATCTATCTATCTATCTATCTATCTATCTATCTATCTATCTATCTATCTATCTATCTATCTATCTATCTATCTATCTATCTATCTATCTATCTATCTATCTATCTATCTATCTATCTATCTATCTATCTATCTATCTATCTATCTATCTATCTATCTATCTATCTATCTATCTATCTATCTATCTATCTATCTATCTATCTATCTATCTATCTATCTATCTATCTATCTATCTATCTATCTATCTATCTATCAATCTATCCACATTATGAGAAAGAATTGAAATTGAAATCTGTTCATTTAATTTCCTTATTCTTTCCTTACTGTGTTATCATTTTAATTATTAAATAAAAAAAAAGAAAAGAAAAATCTTTAAGCAAAAAAAAAAAAAATAATAAATCGCTGAGAATTAATATTTAATAACAAATATTCGACTATTAGTAGTAATTATACTCAGTGCTATTTATAATATGAATTAATAAATTATTTTGATGATTATTTGCCAATATTTCTTTTTTCTTTTTAAGAAAGTAAAATCGAACTCTGTGAATTAATTTGCGTTGGTCAAAACAAAAGAGATGTTAGTATCACTTTGGCTAACTCATTTAGCAACTTTTATGTAATCAATAATATAAACATTAGAAAATCATCTTGTTAATAAACAAATCAGATAAAAAGTTAGCATTGTGTTCTTTTTTGAAGAACAGGTAAAATTACAATAGCTAATACAATGCTTATTATTATTACTTTATTGTTATTATTACTTTATTTGTATAAC